GATTGGGGGGGCAAGGCGGGCGACGGAAGGCCGATGCCTCCGTTGCCCGGCCCTCTACAGAATCCACCCCCAAAACCTCCAGGTATTTCCCTCCTTAGAGCTGGCAACCCTACATTCCCCTCAGTGCCTGTTGGTAGGCAACTAAGCTTGGTCCTGTCACCTACTTTGGCCTTTGGGAGAAAACACATTGGGGCCAATCCTGATAGGGTTGCCAACTCCAGATGGGAAATTCCTGGAGACTTGAGGGATGGAGCCTGAAGAGGGTGAGGTTTGAGGAGGGGTGGGACCTCAGACAGGTACACTGCCATAGACTCCACCCTCCAAACCAGTCAGTCCCACATAGGGAACCATTGTTGCCAATCTCCAGGTGAGGGCTGGAGAGCACTCAGTATTACAACTGTTCTGCAGAAGGGAGGGCAGAAGTCAGCTGAAGTCAAAGGGGCAGATAATGGTAGGTTGATGGCTAGCTGGGAAGGAGATGGGGTTGCCAACTACATCCTGACAAATTCCTGGGGATTTGAGGGGTGGAGCCTGGAGAGGGTGGGGTTTGCAGAGGGGTGGGACCTCAGACAGGTAGAATGCCATAGACTCCACCCTCCAAACCAGCCATTTTGTCCTGGGTAACAATTGTTGCCAATCTCCAGGTGAGGGCTACAGATTACTCACAATTACAACTGCTCTTCAGGTAGCAGAGATCAGTTCCTCTGGAGAAAACAGTGGACTCTGTCATTATACCCTGCTAAGGTCACCACAGCAAATTGACACTGTTTGCCCAAAGCCAGAGCACTGCCCCAGAGCCTCTTTCTAGATCCCGTTGTATTGCTTTCACAACGGGCTTTACTGCTAGTAAATAAATAAATAAATAGGATAGGTTTCAGAGTTTCTATGGATTTCATACTATAAAAACAGGCAACTAAATGAGAGAATAATACAAGCATTGCATTTTGATTTTACACAATGGCCTTAGACCCACCTGAATTTGAGGTGAAAGTGCTACACCTAGTCCTAGATACTTCTACAAGTAGTAATTAAAAATCTTGAGCCATTTTTTTCAGTGTATAAATTAGTTGACAGTATTTCCCCCCTGATTTATACTGTTTACATACTCCAAAATGCATTTTCCACACTTTATATGTCCAACCGTTCTAGTTCAGTTTGCTTCCCTTCTGTCAATTCAACCTCCATATCTCAATGTGCTGCTTCTTACACATTAGCAGGATTCATTACTTAATT